AACAGTTGCTCTATAACAAACGTCTCACGTGCTCGACTTCAACAATACTCAAATCAATTACACACTCTCTGACTGCAGTTCAATTACTCACTGTCTCCCCGTCGCTTCGTGGCCGGTCTTATATATACAAGACTAATACACATCTAGTAAACGCTAGGGCATTCACGAAGGAACAGGATATTTCTAGAAAGAGGTGGCATGATACTAGTCACGTGACCTCACTGACGCAACAGTATCATCAGCAAACAGTTTAATGTTAAAATGAACTAGCATTTACTCAATAATTTATGTAAATAAGAAATAATAGTGGTTCTAAGGTATATTGTTGTGGAATCACAAATTATATTTAAACTATTGGGCTGAAATTTATTAATTGATGGATATTGTTTTCTGTTAGTTGGGTAACTTTTAAAAATGTCCAAAGCTACACCTCTTATGCCATAATAATACAATTTACCCAATAACCTGTCATCTATAATAACAAAAGCCTCTGACAAATCTAAAAATGCATCACAAGCCACCTTATCAGATTCAAAATATTCTGGTAATTTCTCTTAAATCTCTAACATTGTCAGAATATTAGAGGGATTTTTACAAAAGTGAAATCAATATTTATTTATGATATTATTTTCTGTATCACATTTGACAAAATTTGAAATTTGCTAGTTAAATCTTAACAGGTTACTGATAGAGGAGTTTGTTAATATCTCACTTGTTTCACTTTTCTCCATAACAATTTCTCCAAATCTTGTTGACAGGTATTTTATTCTTCTTTTGCTAAATGACACTAATAAGACAGTAAACTTTTTTTTTGTTTGAAGTGTCTGATACAGTACATTATCTTCACTCACTCACTCGCAGACATACATACATATTCATTCTCATTCAGTGCTGCCCTCCATATGTAAAACATTTTTTGCTGCCACAAGCCTTACACTCCCACATACCCCATGATCACTGTCATTCAACTACATATTGCATGTAAATCATCATTTGACAACCCTCCACTAATAGAAGTGCAACACACCCTCCTGACACATGACTCCCTTTATTTTATTCTACCAAACTATCACTTAATACAGTTTTTGTCTGTAGTTTTACAAGATAACTTACCTTTGTTGTTTTTTCATCAATTCATCATCATTACATGATGAATTCTGAAGTTCATGTTATAACTTTGGTGGTTCTACCACTTACTTCCAGCACAATTACACAGGCTTCAGGTTGGGAGAACTCGACTGAGGAATTTTCAGCTTTCATTTGTCAAGAGGTTGTTCGTTATATGGGTCGACCTTCTCCCAATTTTGCTAGTCTTCCTCCTGAATCTACCAAACCTATTTGTGACAATGAGGATTTTTGTAGCCTTTTTCTTCCATCTGGCTATTCTGTGCCTTCTAAAACCTGTGGAATGTGCTAAGCCTAACAGCATTTTTAGACAAGATTTCTCGGGTATGTTCCATTTTATTTCCCTATTTTTTTTAATCCTGTTCCTTCCTCATTACATGACACCCCTTTCTTCACAGTATTTTGTTTTCTCTTCTCCTCCTGACTTCATGGCACAATTATTCTCTTTGGCTCTCTCCCTTTACACATAGTTTGTTTGCTGTTGAGATTTTATGTGCAGTGACCTCTTGTGTTGTCCCAAGTTCCTTTACCATTCATTTATCTTCAGGACTTTCAGATGGCTCCTTTTGTCCATCGGTCTGTTTTTGAGGTTATTCCTGAGAATTTGGAATCATGTGTGGAATCTGTGTGGCAAAATTTTACCCTTTCATCTTTGGTTGTTCGTTTGTCTCATTCTGAGCCCTTGCAGTCGCCTGTTGCTATTACATGTCATGCATCCTCCTGTCCTTTACCTTTTCCTACCACTAGATGTTCCACCATCTGTTGTTTCTCACCATAGGTTTCATTAGTACCAGCAAAAATGGTGACTATCCTGTGGGGTTTCAGTCCAGTAGGGGCTTGTTTGGCTGATTTTGTTACTCTATGGTGGGAAATTGATGCTGATCCTTGAGTTATCCAGGTTTTGTCCAAGGAACTTTTCATTTAATTCCTTTTCCCTACCGTGTTGGTCTCCAGTACCCATATCCTTTCCCTTGGGATCCTACTGTCAGTCAATATCTGTCTGAAGCAGTATAGTTTCTTCTATCACAGCTATGAAGCCTGTCAGCCATCATTCCCCAGATTTTTACTCTAAGTTGTTTGTGGTATCCAAGAAAGCTGGGACCTGGCACCCTGTGATTAATCTGTCCTGCCTTAACTGATTTTTGGATCTTCCCTGTTTTACCATGGAGTCCTTTCTCACACTGAAAAGGGCTTTTTCTCCAGGACTGTGGATGACCAAGGTAGACATATCAAATGCTCCATATTCCTATTGCTCATCTCTCTCTCTCTCACACACACACACACACACACACACACACACACACACACACACACACACACACACACACACACACACACACACACACACACACACACACACACACACACACACACTACT